TTAGAATGATAGATTCCTTATTATGCATTCATCTATCTCCATACTCATACATAAGAACCCGAGTATCACACTATCGGGCCCTACGAAGTAGTAAGGGCTTTGAGGTGAAATCAAAGTTCATATCTATAAACACAATATACTGAGGATGTCTCAGGTCTGAGAACTATTTGCAACTACAACTTAAAGCTTAGTACTATTTGACATGTGGTAAGTATCCATACATTTAGGCTTTTTTAGCGGTCCGTGTTTAATGTTTAGCGGTCAGTGTTTAATGAACTTGTTCAATTGACAAGCACTTGTATATCCACTACGTGTCAAACACACTTAGCACGTGGCCATGCAAACCTTAGGGTGATATACACCCACCTTTAATTTGTTGTATATTATCTTTACATTTGTTCACCTTTTGAGTACAACATGCCAAACACATTTTACACTCGTTTTTGTATCTATAAAATGAAAAACTGTTTTGCGATATTTTACCAAACATGCCCTTATTTTCAAAAATTCAAGTAAATAAAGAAAGTAATTAAATTTTGTACCTTTGTTTTTTCCAGTCTGCACTCCTCTTTAATTCGCATTGCTCAGATAGAATAAAAAATGGAAACAAAAAAATGACTGCAGAAGGAAGAGTGTAAAATTTAAAACGTATGCATAAGACCATTTGTATTCAATATGTGCATTTTTTTATCATACGCTGTTGACAGCGGAAGACAATAAAAATATATGGCTTAATTTTCATGTATTGCATAACTTGGTATATAAGTACATACAATCTTTGTTCTTTAAGGAAACAATAAAGGACACAAATATATCCTTCCTAATAAAGGACTCTAATATTTACACAATATTTACATTACTATTTTCCTAAAGGTTGACTCACGCCAATCAAGACAACAGAGTAGTTAGGTAAATATGATATGTAGTGTTGGAAAAAAAAATAGATCATGCATGTGTGTTTTAGTCTACTCTTTATATTATCAATTGTTTTATGGTGGATCTTAACTTTTTTTTATAGTATCAAAGCAGATTGTCCCACTTATAAAGCTCAATGACCAAAAGTACTCCACCACACCCAATTGTATTGTTCACGTGTTAGGCTTGAAATCTCGTCACACGTGACGATATGATGAGAGTTTTAAAACCACATTGAGAAAAGAGAGGACTTTGCATTTGTTAATAAGTAGTTGGACTCTCCTATATTACCAATTGATTTTATGTAGAACCTCAACTTTATTCATGTTGTATTATTTGGAACATTATTATATATTAATTTTCCACTTTGAGAAACTTGAATTTTTCCAACCCTTATTCATGTGATGAGCAAGATATTATTTATAATTAGAGTACATTGTCAGCATGCATGCATGTTAATTACATTTCCTTAATACGTATAGAAGTTAAAATAATTGTGTTGCAAACGGAGATTATGACTTATCCATCTTTTTCAATGCGTGAGGCTTGGGCTAAAGCTGATAGGCACAAAGATACCTAATCTTTTAAACCAGCTTCTCTAGAAATGGAAGATAGAGCAGTGTAATTCAATAGCTTTTGAGCATACATATGCCCCCCCTGAACATTTATGAAAACACAAAGATCTTTTAGCTAAGCAGATTAAAAGGTTTTTTTTTTATTTTTTTTATAGACATGTTCACACAGAAATACTTCTCCTGAGTTTGTAGTTTTTTATTTTTTTTTATTTTTATTTTTTTGGAAAACCTGAGTTTCTAGTTTCTACCACCAAATTAACTTTAAAAAAATGGAGATAAGTGACCAATGATTCACTGCTTCGAATGAAACGTCACCCCTACCAATCAGCTGACACAACACCCTCATCCTATCTTATCCTATCCAACTAGAATACTGTCTCAGCACCTGTTGACTCGACTAATTATACAGTTTACATGCAGAAACAAACAAACGTATCTTAATACGATCATGGTACTTGACTCAGGTAGCCAGCTACAAGTTTTGGAATGTTGTTCAGAAGAAAGATCCGTAAACCCAATTCCGAAGATCTGAAAATTTTAATACAAACAAAATATGTAACATCGCTGCATGAACCCATTTACCCACGTACATCATGAACCCATTTACCCACGTACATCCTCTTTGGCTGATTGCTTTGTCCAAAAGATCCTGTGATCAGAAATCACCAATTCAGCTCCAACTTGTGATCAGACTTGACTACTTACAGTTGTGGGTTTGATATTTCCTTTTGACAACAAATGAGTTTTTTTTTTTCATAAACGATAGGTTGTTTTATTCATAATCAAATACGAATGGATACATTCACATGAGTGACAGGAATATTGAAAAGCCAAATTATTTTTCAAGATCATCCCACTCATACAAGCTCTGTTCTCTAAAGACAAACGTACGTAGCCATTGTATGTGCTGCTTTGTTACAATTGCAAGGAGCAAAACCAAACGCCATGTTTTGTAATGGGAAGCAACGACCTGAATGTCATGGATAATCCTTAAAAAAACTAGATTTTAATCCTTAAATAAGATGAAGTTTGGAAAAATGTCTTATACAAGATTAAAAATTAATTTTAGTCCCTAGACTCCATTTAATGCTAGCATATTAAATGTTTCGAAAAGATTTTTCGGTATACATGTTTTTGCATATTTTCTTATGTGCCACTAATTCATTACAATATATATTTAGATACGAACATTTCGGTACACTAGTTTATTATAATATATTTAGGTACGGAATGTTTTGGTACACTTATGTTTTTGCATATTTTCTTATGTGTCACTAATTCACTACAATACATTTAGGTACAGACATTTGGGTACACTAATTTAGTAAAATATATTATGATACGAACATTTAGGTACACTAATTAGACAAACTTAAATAAATATGATGAATTAAAATGTGTATAATAATAAATAATTTTAATTTTAATGTAATGACATTAAATAAGATATCTATTAAATATTAAAACAAAATTATAATATAAATTTGAATTAACTACACATTAAAGTACTAAAATCAATATCTAATGTAACACCAAATTTTTATTAAATTTTAATCTTCTTAAAGGATTAAAGTTCAAAAATTCCATACTAAATGTGCTGTGCTATGTTATCAAACCAAATGATCATTAGCAGATGTTTCATGTTTTATAAAAAAAAAATTTATATACAGACTGTACTCGCTAATAATAAATTCAATTCTCTAAAAGGAGTTTTCCTTTATTTTATTTTTTTTGGTGAATCCGCTATAGGGAGTAAGCTAGCATAAGATGTGTGAAATTTTGAAGCTGCACTAAACTCGGATGAGTGCAATTAAACGTATATATACTACAGTCAAGTGTTCATGCAACCTAAGACATGTTTCCTTGAAATAAATGATTACCAACAAATTAAATTTTGATCTGTTAGGGCTTACATGGCGCACATTAAGGATCCCACAAACTGCACTTGTGGGAAAGAGATCCTCTCAGGATCTCTTCCACCAAAGTCACCAGATTAAGTGATTCGAAGCCTTGAAATTTGATCAAACGGCTAAAGTTATTATAACTTTTAAAGAGACCCCTATTTTTAGCTGTTGGATCAAATTTCAAGGACTCGGATCATTTGATCCGGTGACCTTGGTGGAAGAGATCTGAAGGGATCTCTTTCCCACTTATGGCATGCGACTCATCAAAATTAGATGAGTTGTCTAATGACACGTGTCAACTTCATCCAATAAATCAAATTAAATACAAAATGGGACAAAATAACTCTAGTTTGATCAAACTGTATCAATTAGAGTTTAATTTCCTAAATAAAAGATTCTGAATTAATTAAAAGCCAAATTAAATAATTGATTCCAATTAAATTAAATCAGAAAAACAATCCCACAAATCAAGTACCCAATCTTTGCCTATAAATACTAGGCTCACTTTCAAGAGCTGAACTGGGGAAGAAACGAAGCGAGCTTAAGCTGTTGGAGAAACCAGAAAGCTCTCAGGCCGAGGCAAATACCAAAATACCCAAACATTTTTGTGTTTTTCTTTAAGCTCGTGGAGAATCAACAAGTACAACAAACACATGTCAGATCATCCAACACCAAAGCTGAAAACCACCCACCTCGTGACACTAATCGTTGTCCACAGTTGTTCAAGATGAAGCCCCGATGAACCTTAAAGATTAACTCACAAGCCTGATTCAAGATCAAGTGTTCATCACCCTTGAATCAAATCAGAGAAATATTCTTATAAAGAATAAACCACAAATATTGTGCCCTTACAAATTCATTAATTCAAATATTATTTTGTATGCATGTTCTTCTGTTATTTGTTGCAAAAATATCGAACTTACAGCAACGTAAATGTTAACATTTGAATTTTACAATTGATTGGTTCTATTACCACTTAACGATTTGCGTGGTTTTGAGCTTTGAAATTTTGGAAGTTGCTCAAGTGTAAGATAAAAGTTGCATGCAAGTTAAAGAAAAGAAAAGGATCTCAAAATGTTGTAAATGATAGATTAGGAAAAGCACTATAGAGTATTACAACGATTTTTTTTGAACTATCTGAACCGTTTACATTTCAAATTCAAAACCATTAAGATTTTCATTTGTAGTTAATAAAATGGTTATTATTCAAAACTATTAGATAAATTCAAAACCATTAAGATTTTCATTTGTAGTTAATAAAATGGTTATCATTCAATCCGATGGTCACATAGTTTCGGATTTGGATGAATTTTGGTAGACATGACCTTTGAGGGATGGACCAAAAACATAAACGGTTGGATCATTATAAAAAGTTACACAATGAGCCTTATAAAATATGTGTCAAAAAATGAGTGTTCCCAATCCTAACACACACACACACGCATATCTATATCTATATCTATATATATATATATATTGTCTCTTGAGATTCTTCTTTTGTGTTTGCAAAAGGGGACGAATCATGCCTGACTTTTCCTTTTGGCTTTATAGATTCGCCAACTGGCTTGAGGGTTCACTCCATTATCCTCCACTACTATTTATAGGCAAAGCACCCCAGCCATTTCTTGCACAGATACCATCCTTCTTGCTTACCCTATCCAATTATCTTAAGCTACATATATACGTACTTTTCCTTCTTCTCCTTTTAATATCTGAATGTATTTACAGAGCCTTTGAAACATTCACTATATTCATTACTTAGAATTAGGTATAATATTCAAGGTAACGATTAATTAATGGCTTCAAGCTCCCTTAGAAAACACAATTCCAGCTCTTCATGGACACCAAAACAGAACAAGCTGTTTGAAAAAGCACTGGCCGTGTACGACAAAGAGACCCCGGAGCGGTGGCAAAATGTGGCCAAAGCTGTAGGTGGCAATAAAACAGCGGAAGAAGTGAAGAAACACTATGACATCCTTCTAGAAGATCTCAGGCAAATTGAGTCCGGACGGGTTCCTATTCCCAACTACAAGTCCTCCATTGGAAGCAGCACCAGCAGCATCAATGTTGATGAAGAAGAAAGGTATACCGTGATCCTCTATATAACTTTAATTAATTATCGTACATGCAATTCTTGTTTACAATTTAAGTATTACAGGACACCTACTTAGAAGTAATGCTAAATTAGTGAAGTGACTACATGCTTTGTAGCACATGACCACACCACTTTTGATCGCATTCAGTTGTCTACATACACGGCTGGTTCTCGGAAATGGCTCATGTGTTTGGGCAATTTTTAAGAGACTACTACTTTAAAAGTTCTTATATATTCGTCAGAGATTTTAGTTTCTATTAACATCTATATAGTTCTTTTGAAAACCAAACATTGCTTGCTTATTTTACAGGCTTCTCAAGTATCTTAAGCTGCAGTAAAGTCCAAGTCAGTTCAACCTTTTCATGAAAAGGTTTTACTACATATATCGAGGATAGAGGATATATGCCTCTTTAATTTTATGTTCAACTCTCTCTCTCTCTCCATCTTAATTGATGTCAGTGTTGCTGCATGCATCCTCCTGGTGAGGAAATCTTATTTTCTCAAACTAGAAGTAAACGCAAGTGTCTCCTTCACCTGCATCCTCATGGTTCATGGACTATACTCACGAGTGCGATATTAAATTATTCTTAAGTTATTGTAATCACTTAGTCCAAAAATAAAAAAAAAAACAAACTCTAATTAAATTCTAAAAGAAAAGAAAGGCAAAAGTTTGAGAGAAGATGAGAAGAATAACCGAGAAAAGTGCGCAGTATGAATTTTTAACAATTCCTGACAATCAAATTAAATCTTTCCAACCATCTCTTATTTCTTACACAGGCATTAAAGCCGCCATTAATGTGTAAAGAAGCAAGGGACTAGCATTTATTCTTAATGTGCATTTTCTAACAAAGAAGCGAGAAATTTCTTGAGCTGCCTGTTGTAAAAAGGGGTCGCTCCAGTTGAACAAAAAACATGCCTTCTTTATAGACAGTACCGTTGTGCCAGTTCCTAATTGCCTGCAGTTAATCATCACAGCTAATGTTAATTATCAACTCTAAAATAATTTTTTGGCTATTATAAAGCCAATGATTTCAGCCATTTATTATTTTGTATTAAAGTTGAACCAGTTACCAATCTGAAGAAACCATGTATTCAACCGAATCCAGAAAGTAATTAATTATGCATACTTTTTGAGGTCGCTGGCTGTTTCCATGGTGAAAACCTTGTCATTCTGTCCCCACAAAAGATATACTTCTGCAAGAACGTGCTCAGTCAAACTGCATACGCAAGTGTCCTATTTCTTTTGTAAATATTAGCTCTATGAATCTATTTTCAGAGATGAACTTACATTAGTCAGACTAAACAACTTATCCAACATTTTATCCGCTCTACAACTTATCCAACATTTTATCCGCCCTTGTGTCAAAGGCACAAGTGAAAAGATTAACAACGTCAAACCTGTGGGTAGGCAGGAATTGTATAGTCCTTTTCATCAACGACCAATGCCTCTAAGAGTTCTTTCTTCTCCTTTATGGGATCCAATTTCCTAGTGAATAGGGTGTTGGGCTTCCACCCATGTGACCTAAGTTCGAAAGTCCGCCATTCCCTAAATTATTGTAATAGATTCAAACCATTCTCCTCCCCTTAATAATTAAAATTAAAACAAAAAAAATATGTTCTCAAACGTCGACTGCCACAACTCATGCGTATGCATTGGATGGACTGTTTTATTAAAACCAGTAAATCATCATTTAACTTTATTTTACATTTTTAATAGAATGATATATCTACACTAGGATAAAAGGATTTGGATAAGTAATATGCTTACATTAAATTGAAGTTTTGCTTCAATTCAGCGTTGTTATTCCACCCACCTGTCTTATTTTCTCACACACCTTATAACTAAAATGATAGATAACACTTCAACACTAGCAATCCCACACATTATATAAACATGTGTTTGGGAGAAACAAATGAAAGAGAAGGAAGTTGGAGAATAATGTACAAAACAAAATAAATTCATTTTAACAGTTCGAATATGAAATTTGCAGGTCATGATTTTTTAGGGCCAAAGTAAGACGGGTCACAACACGTATATCTCAGAAGTCCAGTCATGGCTCAATAGCTCTGATAAGACTGAGGTGCACAAATGGACCAGGGATGCCACCATCGTCCTCTGTTCTAGAAAGGTAGGCAAAATTCGCCAATTTCATTGAGATTGTCCATTGTTGTTCTGCAAGATACATAAACCTGATATGATAAAGGTTCCTACATTTTGGAGATTCAAACTGTAAACACGAATTTTCTTCAATAAATAACACAAGAATACGTGTACAAAATAAATGTTTTGTATTAATGTAAATGTAGGGTTGCAATATCAGTACAAACTTGAATCCGCTGATTCGATATCCGAGGTGAAAAATTTGTGTGTTGTTGATCCGTGGGTTGCAATGACTTGATCCCAAATGAATGAACGCCTCAAGATTTTGACTTGTGGTGATGGAAGAACCGGCATGTGTAGGGGTGCTTGGTAGTTCTTCAAAAGAATGATGAAGAATGTAGAGAGTTTTCTGAATCTTCTGAATGTTTGGGAATTTGGGAGTTTGGGCTTGAGAGCTTCAGTATCTAGGTGTGAGAATGATTTTTTGACCTTCTTTCTTTGTCTTGGAGCCTCGTACTTATAGGCTCTCAAAGCCTGTCCTACGAATGGATTTGGCCTTGATTATGGACTTGATTAATTGACAAGAGAACCAAGACTTGATTTGTCGCTTAGTTGATGATTTGACTCCATCAATTAATATTTGATTTAAGAAAATAAAAATCAAATGAATCAATCTTTCCCAATTTGGCATTTTCATTTGAATTCAATTTAAATTAAAATCAAATCATTCTTTTTTGCCAAGTGTTGACACGTGTCCCTCTTGATGACTCGTCCATTTTTTTTATGAGTCACATGCCATTTGTACAATTTGTGAGACACATGATGCATGCCACGTAAGCTCAGACATGTCCAAATTTAATATGTTGGCAAACATTTATTTTCACCCAAATTTACATGTCTACACAACAATCTAGAAATTGGCGTGCGTCGTAAATAATTACACTCCTAAATGAAGCAATGTCTATCTTTAGTTATCTTTTAAGGATTCTACTAGTTTAATACGGATCCATATCCTTAAAGGTCTCTCTCTACTAGTATATATACACCCATCTAGGGTTCATTTCGGGTAATGCCATTATCACATACTCTATTTTCTTACCCACTATTTGAATCTCATATATTGCATACTACCTTGACTGTCGGAGAGCCTTTGGCCAGTACCCCACCGATGTCAAGGTTATCTTACTTGTGTTTGCTCTTTTACAAGTAATCAAATTTGTGCATCTCCTCCACATGAGGTGGTGTGCGAATTTGGTTCTAAAAACTGGTTCTTTCATTGAGAATGAACACATTTCCCTCAGCCAAATCACTGTACCACGCCATGCCAACAAACTTCAAAAGGCTTCAAGGGCCTCTGTCACACCCCGACCTGTGAATGAAGACTATTCACGAGCTACGGTGTGAACCATATCTTAGCTATAGAAATAAATTCTACAACCAAAATATGGTGGAAAATAACCCTAGCTCATGAATAGTCTTTATTCGTGGGTCGGGGCATGATAGCCTCTTGAACAAAGGAACGGTCAAAACTCATCAACCTCTAAAGACGTGTGAAAGCCCTAGAGGACACCGTCTTTAGGAGACACTAATTATGGCAACGTCCGTTTAGACCCCAGTGAAAATTTCTTTTCTGAACCCCCACACAAAGTGCCATCGTCTGACTCCCAAAAGATCTCTCAAGAAGCCCAAGAGTGGTCGAAAATCATCTCAAGACCGAGATTTGATGAAGAAACAAATCATCAGCGTCAACAAGAACATTTGGGTACTACCATAAAGGAGAGAAATGTGGCATGCAAAAAAACCAAAGATGGTGGCTTCCTTCAGCAAACCTTTTCCAATCCACTCCAACATATTAATGTTCTCCAATAGCCCGCACGTCACGGGATAAAAAGGAAATCAAGAGAGATCAAGTTGCAGCCATTGCTACACTGTAGAAAGTTTGAATATGATCTGAAAAGGAGAGCGGAGCTCTGCATCTCCATTGGACGAGTCCGCATAGCCCCCATAGTTTGGGGGCCAAGAAACAAGCTAGAAAAGATTCGACATGGACCTTGACCCCCTGAATGACAGTATTCTAAAATCCAAGGTAGACGAGGATGTTGTTTACATAAGTCTAGATCCGGACCAACCAGAACGCAAGGCTAGAATCTGATCAAAACTATTAGATCGATAAAAAAAAAATGTTCACTGCTTTCTTGCGGGCGAACAAAGATGTGTTTGCAAATAGTAAAGTAACGGCTAAGTGGCTTACAACTCAGTTGGTTAAAACCATTCGTTCTTACAAACAGATCCTATGTTCAAATCTCCCTCCTCATTTTTTAGATGAGTTTAGTGTAGATTATCCTATCGCTAATAAAAAAATTGTAAACTGCTAATAAAGAAAATTTTGAAGGAAAAAAGAAAAATAAATAAGTAAATAAAAGCAAGAAAATTTTAGGAGTATAAAGTTCATATCCATGCAGTCGGGAGCTCATTGTGCCCATAACTAAATGGTTATATCAATATGTCGGACTTGGTGGATATTCCACACTTTGAGCTTTCTTTTTCCCAACACCAATCGAGAATTATTTTGTTCCTTTTCTATGAATGAAATTGTACATCCTAATGACAAATAATTTATAAATTAGAACCTAGACTTCATTCATTCTAAATAATTGAGGGCCTGATATTCCTTGATTTTAATTGCATAGACAACAAAAACTATTTTTTTGTGAAGGTCTCTAGGCATACGCACTGAGCATGGCTCAGCCGTACAACAAAATATTTGGTTTTATTTTGTTCTCAAGTCTTGATTAAAGGTAGATGACAAATGATTGAGACAAATTGACATTTCTCCCATGATTAATTTTGTATTCGATGGATCTAACACACTTCGAGATTTCAAAATTGGTTTTATTTTGTTCTCAAGTCTTGATTAAAGGTAGATGACAAATGATTGAGACAAATTGACATTTCTCCCATGATTAATTTTGTATTCGATGGATCTGACACACTTTGAGATTTCAAACTTATTCTTGCTAATGAAAATCATTTGATTCCATTATTAGTGGTTGAGTTTCACCTCCCACATTTTTGGACTTAGCAAGACATTATTGGTTGAGTTATCTCCCCATGGGTTGTTCTTTTATTTTATTTTATTTTCAGCACTTTTATTATGTTTATTACATTTTCGTATATTATTATGAATGCATTAATTCAATATCTTCTATTTGAGAAACTCCTACTTTCTTTAATGTGTTATCAGGGCCAATTTTCGCCTAGTGCAAGCAGGGCCCAGGTTCAGGGCCCAAAATTAGAAGAGGCACCTAATTTTATTTATTTTATTTTTATTATTATTATATTTTTACATATGTATAGATATTAAAAAAAATTAATTAATTTTGGTATAGTGAACTCGTGAATTCGACTCTCCATTCTTCATCAACGCTTCGAAATCTCTGTGGTCTTTAGTATGCATTCCAAGGACCAAATTCCAAGCCTTCTATTAATTCAATGATCATAAGTGCATAATCATAATTCAATTCTTAAAGAAC